ATCACAATCTGCACAATATAGCAAAGAAATCTTTGATGCACTTGTAATGAGGTAAAGAAGATTATTATGATTTAAATGAAGCAAGTTTTTAGAGGGATGTAGTGAGATTTATAATGTATTGTATAGGTATGAAGCACCTGACAGTAAAAATCGTTGGGACTCGCCATTATTTGCTGTATCAGCGGAAGATGAATTGAAATTTGATGAAATTTATAGATCATTGTATGAAGTGAAGGCACCAAAACCAAATTTAAGTACACAATGTGTTAGTATTTGCATAAATAGAAAAATTAAATTAAAATTGATTAAAAATTTGTTTTTTAAATTAAAGTATCATATTTTAGCCACCATTGTCATCTACAAACTATTTATATGACTTGGATACGATAACTCAAGAAGTTGTTAATGTAAGTTGAATAAAAATTTTTATCTATGCATATGTAAAGTAAAATCTGTGATACTAAAAAGAGACAGCAAATCATGAATAATGTAGTTATGATAAATCTGTATATATGTCATTGTGATAGTCTGTATGTACTTCTTTTTATAAAGGCTATATTATCAGCTAAACAACTGGGTATTGACAGTGAATTTAAAATACCAGGCTATAACTTAACAGTACAGAACCCTTGTACAGCAGCACAGCTTATGAGATTACGGAGACAATTTTTAACTTACAGTAAAATGCAACAAATTGAAATTAATCAAATTGCATCATTGTTTGTACAATATCTTAATAAAAGTTCATAAATAGAACAAGTATTTGAATACATCATTAGGCCTAACTTATTTTATAATAATCTTGGCCTGCATGTATTCTGTATTGCAAAGTAAATGTTTGTTGCACAATATTATTGAACTTTCTTGTCATAGTAACATAACTTAAATATAAATTATTTTGAAATAATTAATGAAATTTGTGCGACATTAATCTTACATGAATATATCTTTGCAAAAATAGAAGAAATAATTAATATTACGATGAAAAATACCGGAATTCTAGAATTGCACTTCCTTTGTGATATTTATATTCATAAATTCAGAAAATTGGACAAGGCAACATCGGTCTTAGCAAAACATTGAATATGCATCCTTTATAAGATGAAGTTGATGATAAATGAAATTTGTTTTTAAAACAATTGGAAAAGAGCGTTACAAATGAAGGATATTGCATAGTATATACATGCAACCAAATCGAATTTTTTTTATTTCATGTTATCACGGTATTTGGTAAATATTTCAAACAATAAACATTAATAATATGCTAAATCACAAATATTGAACTCAAAAGGAAACTTGCAAAACTGTTATTAATGCTAAAGAAGATTCTCTAGTTTGAACTTGAATCAATTTCTGCCGACATTTAAAAAAATAACTGCATCATTTTATTATCCAATTTATTAATAACAGAGCTGTCACGTTTAGCAGTTACTTATACTGAAATAAAATCTTTGATAAAAAAATATGAGTTGAATTTTTAACTCTATTTAACGATTTTGTTTCTAGATTCAAATCACCTAATATTGATTTTATACTGTTCGAGGCTTGCACCTGAAAGCCTCAAACAATATAAACTGTAACATACTGGGCCGTGAAAGCCTGAAAACTCTAATATTGACTTGATTCATAAAGTATAACAGCTTTGCTTTCGTAGTAAAGAAACTATTATGTAATGCATTTACAATTACATCGAACTGTCTTACAAATAAAACACAGCAAGTTGTCAATAGTTAGTTTTCTTGTTCTTGCATACCATTACTTTCAAAGCCATTTCTATGACTCATGTCATTATCGATACGTCTCTTAGGTTTTCGACAAACAAAATATACACTATTATATTCACATTGCAACATACAATTAACATTCTGTGCATAGCGCGTTTTCACACGCGTTTCTTCTTTCTGAAAGTATAATAAATAGTAAAATTTTATTCACTATTTATATTTTTTATTGTTACAAAGTTAATTACCTCTAATTGAAATCCAAAGCCTTGAATTACATCACGGACAACGTCGTAACTTGGTTCTATTGAATCTTCCATTGGCATATCGCTGAAGTGATACAACAGTGGCCCAAGATTTATCCATATACCTCCTGGCTTTAAAATTTTATAGATAGTCTCAATAAATTGTACAACATTATTCGCGCAGTCTATAAAAAAGCAAGTCGCAACACAGTCCCAATGATTGTCTTCTGTATAAACCTAAAATTTATAAAATATTTGTAAAGTAAGTTTTTAAGATGTTTCCTTACTTTTTCATGCATTTTGATATTAACCTCCAGAAAATCGCCTGCTGCCATAGAGAACTGTGCATTTTCTGGAAGATCACTAGGATTTACATCTGGGAAGAATACAGCTTGAGTTTGATGTTCTGGTTTTAAATTATTCATATACTGATGTACCCATGGATGTACTTGATATGAATTTACCCCCCTACACCTTAGAAGTATTAAGGATTATTAGTTAAAGTCGCTGTACATTAATTAATTATTGAAAATATTTAACCTTTACTCACTTATTTAATACAAAATGGGAAGCAAAGAGCATGAAGAGAGAAAATTCATTTCCTTGGCAAGTATATCCACGTCTTGCAATTTCATATGCTAGTCTTCCCAAACCTGCTCCAGGTACTAGAATTTGCACTTCTGATGGTGTACTGGAAATTTACCTATCATTTCATACTTTTCTGAACTATGTTTTACTACAACACTGTAACTATTCTAAATGTCTGAATTTAGTTTAATAAAACATTTTATTCATGTGCAATGTATTCATAAAGTTTGAAAGATTCATACCAATATTCTGCTGGAAATTGATTCATAATTTCATCTATGATAGGCTGATAGCACGCCATGCGTTCTTCAGTGCCTTCTACACTCCAATCGCGAACCAGGTGCTTAATTGTAGCTTGCACCTTTTCTTGATCAGCCATTACTGGACGAGGATTTAATGTCTGCAATCAGACCTACCTATATTTTGTACAATAGAATATACTTTTATAAAAAAAGAAGCTTGTTAAAATGACAAAAAAAATCCAAGCTTGAATAAAAAAATAGATAATATATTTCTTGTTAGAAAGATAACATTACAAAAATGATCTTATATATAGACATAGGGAGTTCCTTTCTTTTGACAATGTTAATGGTTAAGTTAATTTATAATAGTTAGATAAGGACCTATATGAGTGTTACCTTTGTAGCTTCAATTTTGACTGAGATAAAATAAAAGACTATATGGCAATGTGAACACATTTTTTGTAAATATCTAATATACTATAGGATTAATAGAATGAATTGGTGACAATTTCAAAAACATATAATATTGTACAACAGGATATACATGCCACACACCAGGTAAACTTTTCTTACACTGTCAGTCTGTGCAGTAGCTGGGCTCACATTTTCAAAAATATGTGCTACATCCTTTATGATCAGCTTAATTATCTCATCATTGTTCTCAATACACCTTTTAACTTCTTGCAGATGTTCTCTATACTTTGATAATAGCTTCTGGTGATGAGCAGGAAGTGATAGCAAATAGGATTCTGTCTTTTTAACCCTTATTAGTGAATGATTTCTGTAAACAAAAAAAAATTGCAATATGAAGTGGAGTTCATTAAATTGTTACACTTATGAATTGTATTCTTATATATTTTTTACACATTTTTATATATTTTTGTGTTATGCAACTATTAATTTAAGACTGATTCATGAAGAACAACAATTGACAAACTAAAGACACTAATACTTTACTTGATAGATTTATGAATTTTTTCTGCTAAGCACAGATCATTATACCTTTACTTAAAAAACAATATCATAGTAACACAACCTGAAATACAATTCCTATAATTATAGAACAACCATGAAAAGCTGCAAATAAAACGTCATAACGCAATACGATATCATCGAAGGTTAAGTAATGATAGTTAAAATTTTCAACGACAATCGGAAAATCATGAACACGACATCTTATAAAGTTATTACAAGTACTATGTTCAATGAAAATAAGCAAAAAGAAAAACAGCAATAAAGATAAGGCCGAAACATCGACTTGAGGATTAGAGTCGATCAAACGAAATAAATTTTCATGATGTACTTACTTGTAATATTTGAAAGCCGAGACAATACGCTGAAAATGTTTCCTTTCTTCCTCGTCTTCGTAATTGTCGTGCATTTTTTTTGGATAAGGATTCGACATTGTTTCCATTTTTATATTCGAACGTGGAGCTTAGTATTTTAATGAGTTTTTTAGCACGACGTTCAGTGGCGGCTTCCTTGGTGCACGCGTTATGAGGCGTTCACATCATTACGATAAATTATTCTTTAAGGCTAAACCATCAGCAAATTTCATTTATCGACCAAAATATGTTGAAATTGATAAGTTTCTAGCATGTTTAAAGAATGACAATTATTTTTTAGATGTAAAAAGGATAAGGTTATTCTGTTGTGCAACATGTAATGTTGTTTTTTTGTAAGTTGGATCGTTTCGTAAATTATATAGAATGCTTACGATAATTTAAATCTGTTTATTATGCAAAAAGGATAAAGACAATATATCCTTCGATCTGATAAGATAATATAAGTTTTTATCAATTTCATTTCATGACTTTAGTATTATTTTGAAAATTTTATTATTATTAATAACAATTATAAAAGAAAATCAATAACTTGTAAGTAATGTAATGTAAGTAATAAATGTTTCTGGAAAAAACTGTAAGAATAAGTTTTGTCATGGCTTGATTCTTTATTATGGTTCTGAAATTCATAATTTATGAAATTTAATGGATCAATAAAATTTGATTGATATTTTTTGTGGAATAATTTAACACTACTGTAACGCAAGAAATCCGAGTGAAATTTGTTCGCCACAATTGGAAACGGTGCCAAGGCGCAACTCGCATATCCGCAGAGTTTCTATAGCTGTTGCAATTGCAGGTAGGATATGGTCGTCCTCGCCATTTTTAAAAGGAGCTCAGTTGCTAATCAACCGCGGTAGGGTACACTTGGGACCTCACCGCTATCATCATATCAAACTTGCGACTTTTTTCCGCGTTAGTGTCGCCGTATAAGGCATTTCACGATGACGACAGTATAAGTAATTTGTTCTACTCTTCGTTGACTGTGTAACAGAAGTGTTATTAGAGCTACTCGTAGCAAGCATCAACGCGAGAAACATGTCCAGTGCACCGCAAATGTCTAGCGGGCTTAGCAAGCTCAAAAAGAAACATTTTCGAGTTAAACATCAAAAGGTTAAGCTATTTCGTGCGAATGAACCTCTCCTTAGTGTTTTTATGTGGGGTGTCAATCACACGGTGAGTAGTAACATAACTGCGTGACAGCGTCGTACGTCATCGAAATGCCATTTTCTTCTTTCATTCCTTTGAAACTGAATAGAATCAGAAATTTATGTAAACGATGTATTAATTTGTTAAATTGCATTTACATCATTTTTTTTCCACAATTTTCTTTGAAATCGAAAATATTTAAAACGCATGATGCCGCATATTTCTTCCTTATGATTTGCAAATTTGAATTGCTTTTACAATTGCGTTTTCAATGTAGAAATGATGTAAATTTTGTTGTCAACTGTCGGAGGAATCAAACGGTATATATTTCGTTTGATATATTTTTTAGTAAATCATCATGTGATCATATTTATGTTTGTGGTCATGTTGTGACTGTTACAGGTACCTTATGTTTATTTCGCCTGACATAAAAGTTTAACTAAATAGTGTTTTGATTAAAAAATATTATGTATTTAAGAAAAATTACATATAGATGAATCGTTTTACCAAGTAGTTGAATTATTTCTATTATATTTTCACATTTATTTGTTTAATTTAAAATAACAAAAAACTGTGGAATCATTTAGAATCAGTTGCCTTATAACATAATACAAAAAATATATACAATTAGTTTTACATTCATTTATGAATGGTGACATTTATGTACACAGATATATAATCTCAATGTATAGAATTAATTTTTGGGCTCAACAAATATAAAATTACCACTTTTGGGGTATATATATTTAATTTTTAATTTTTGTAGTGAATGTTTAAATTATTTTTGCACTGATTTCTCTTTCATTAATACTGATAACAAAAATTTATTTAGAAAATTATCTTCATTTAAATGTTAACATTTAACATATTACAGATAAATGAGCTTAGTCATGTTAATATACCTGTAATGCTCCTGCCAGACGATTTCAGAGCTTACAGCAAGTTAAAAGTGGATAATCATCTTTTCAATAAGTGAGTTGTATTACACTGTATAGCAACATGTGTTTTAATCTAAGATTAGTTCAGATGATAAGCATTAAAAGACTGCACAAAATTGAAATGTAGTTAATGATGAGTTCAACCATAGGGTTAATGTTCCATCTAATGTACGAAAGAAATCATTAATGTAAATTTAAAGCAAGCAACTTGTGGTAGTCTATTCTAAATATATCGCTAAATACTGAATTAGTAGGTTGGTCACTGCTTTTAATAATAGAATCAATGAAGGTCCTCATGATCTGAGAATGTAGTTAATGATAAAGATATTCATAGCTTTATATTCTAATTTAAGGGATGCTTGTATACTTTGATAACTTTGTGTAGATATTATTGAACATCTAGAAGTATGAGAAGTTTGATTGTATTATATGTTAAAGATTTCTATTGTTTAAGCAAGGAGTAATTAATATTCATTATTTAATTTTTTTGTTTTAGAGAAAACATGCCCTCTCATTTTAAGATCAAAGAGTATTGTCCATTAGTATTCAGGAATTTACGGGAAAGATTTGGTATAGATGATTTGGACTATAAGGAATCAATGACAAGGTAAAAGATAATTTATTTCATATTTCATGTCTTTCAAATATATGCATAAAGTTCATTTCAGAAAATAATTGGAAAGTATCATTAAAATAATTGTAAGATCCAACATCTATTTGAAATATATTATATGAATAAGAAGTAAAGTGTAATTTATTTCTTAAATTTCTGTCTTATTACATTGCACTGCATGCCAAAGATATGTTTTATGCTATGTGAAAGCTTTCTGCATAAGTTTCAATAACTGTATAGTACATATAGAGCATTTGTATGCATTACAATAATTTGGTAAAAGTTTCTTTACTTGTTCTGCTATATAGCACGTTTACTTATTTATAGAATATTGTAGACTTGTAAGGGTTTTTACTTGATACAATCTTGAAGGAAGATAATCTACCCAATGACTCATAGACAAATTATTGTAATTAAAAATTTTATAATAATATTTGAAATTAGTTTCTATTACAATATATCATCTAAAATAAAATATTTTAAGTTTAATGAAAACAGAAATACAATAAAGAACAATGTAATAGCAGGTAATATATTGTGACTAACATTCTTGCACTGATATAAATCTATGTACATATATATATATATACACACATACACACATGCAAATAATATATTTCCATCATTTCTTTATACATACACAGTAGTACCTTTTATTTGAATGTAGTAAATAAAAATTGCAGATGGTTAATTGTAATACAAGAATTTTGATGCTAGATGTCGGGCATTTAATCCTTCCCTATCAGAGAGGCATTGGGATTTGGCTAGAAGTGGAAAGACTCGTGAATTGGTTCAGCGCTCTGCTACTACTCCTTCAATAACTCTTTCTCCTCCTCCTATTTTTTTACAAATTCCAGTCCTAAATAAACCACTGCGTTCCTACAGTTTTAAACCAAAGCGTCTGAGGTTAGCCAGGCTTGATTTTCCATTTTATGCGTGTTGCTTGTGGCTAACACGTTTCCATGAGATCTTCATTAATTGTAAAAAATCAGTACAAAAGAACATAACTGATTTTATAAAATATTCTTTTTATACTACTGTACTAGCATAAATAAAATATGTATTCACAATTAAATATTTACAAAATGTTAAAAATAAAATTGTAAGAAATTACTCAGAGTTAAAGCATGAACTTTCTTTTTATTTATGTATTTCTAGTTTGATGTATTATTAATCTGTTTTTATTTTATTATCATACTACATACATTATGGTGTAATATGTAGATATTTGTATTACTGTGAATTAATTATGCTGCATAAGTAGTTATCCTTTTCATATGCATGCTAACATATGTAGTATGTGTAGACTAATAGTTGTTAATGTTTTACAATATTGTGAAGAGAGACATATGTATTCCAAGAAGTGAATAATGTATTATGCTATAATGATAAAATAATGAAAACAAACTACAATTATTCTTTATCTCTTTCAGATCACAGCCAATATTAGATGACTCTTCTGGAAAAAGTGGTGCAAAATTTTATCAATCTTATGATAAATTGTTTATTATTAAAACTCTTACAAGTGAAGAGGTAGAAAGGATGCACTCATTTTTAAAGCATTATCATCCGGTATGTAGAAATTGATATTTCTATATAGAAAGTATATATGTTTGTCATTGTTGTATAAGACTAACATCTTACATTTACAGTATATTGTGGAAAGGCATGGAAAAACTTTGCTACCACAGTATCTCGGCATGTATCGTTTGACGGTAGACGGAGTTGAACATTACGTCGTTGCTATAAGAAATGTATTTTCAAATCATTTAACTACTCATAAGAAATTCGATCTAAAAGGCTCAACTGTAGATCGTGAAGCATCTGACAAGGAAAAGGAAAAAGATCTGCCTACTTATAAAGATAATGATTTTGTTAAAGAGGGAATGAAAATTTATATCGGTGAAGAGGCAAAGGCTAAACTTATAGAAACGCTAACCGCTGATGTCGACGTAAGTATTGTTTCCTTTTTGTCACATTTATGTAATTGCACTACATATATTAAAGAATTATTTTTACAGTTTTTAACACGATTGCATTTGATGGATTATTCGCTATTACTGGGATTACATGATTGTGCGCGAGCTGAACAAGAAAATAGAGAACGCGCTGAAAGGGAGGAGGAGGAGGATAATCATGAGGAAGAAGATGATAGCGAGTCTGGAAGTGGACTTGATTCACGAGGTCCAATGGGAGAGTACGTATTACATTCTTACAGTATTAAATGCTTTGTAAAATTCAGTTTTTAACATTTGTAATATTCACTGTCCTCATTAGTCGTCTATGGGGTTGGAGTGGCGTTGCTGGCATGGCAACGCCTCCTGAATCACCACATGCCGCGTTAATGCGTGACACGAGTTTACAGTATGAAGATGCAATAATTCCTGAATTAGATATTTATGCGATTCCTAGTAAAGAAGGTAATATTTATACAATTAATACTGAATCTCTCGAACTGACTTTCGAATTTTACTTTTTGTTTCAGGTGCACCTACAAAGGAAATTTATTTTTTAGCCATAATCGATGTGCTTACTCATTATGGTGTGCGTAAACAGGCAGCAAAGGCAGCTAAAACGGTGAAGTATGGTGCTAATGTCGATGGTATATCAACCTGTGATCCAGAACAATATGGCAAGCGATTTATAGAATTCATGAGCAAAGCTATAGAATAAGCTCGTTGTTCATTGTTGTTAAGCTTGTAAATTTGGACCGCTTGTTCGAAAGTCGTGATGACACTATCGCTTTTACTGCGTTTGCGTTTAGTGCATCGAACATTTGTTCCATGCACTTTGATGTTTGACCACAAAGATTTTTATTTTATACGTCGGTACTGTCGATTACATATTTCAGTATTCCTTATGACATTTACAACGGAGTTAGAAGCATAACGGAATTTTATGGATTACACACTCTATAGAGTAAATCTGTCTACAATTTTTTCAAAGGAATGTTTATTCATTTTTGTAACCAGTGACATACTTTTTCAGTATTTACTTACAATTTTTTACAGACACAATTGTTAAATATTGTGGTTTCGTTGTGTTCTTTAGTTTCGATTGATTTTCACTCTTCAACATAGTTTGCGTGCATTATGTGTACATGCAGAAACACGTGAAAGTTCTGACAGAAAAGTTTATCGCATATCTTCTTTGCTTTATGATGATACTCAACATTATACCCAAAGAAATGTTTCATATGCGTATTTGTTGATATCTATTGTTTCGTTATATTAAATATTGGTATATAAATAAGGATAACAAACGGATGTATCGTACTGTATCTTATATTGTTTTTGGTACACATAATGTACTATAAAAGCTGCGTTTAATACAGTCATTTGACAGTAAGTGATATGTAATACTAGTTTACTCGGAAATATTAAAATTAATGTTGATGTTACATATGATAATCTCAAATAAGGCACGATTAAGTGTTTCATGAAGGAAGCCTACATTTATCATAAAGAATCTCTCCGATTTCGTCAAGACGAACTATAATGCTTCTGGTCTAGTGTCTATGGTGTTATCTGGAATGTTTAAATATTCAAGTTAGAACGTAACTGCTTTTACGACGAAAACTTTCGTTTTTGGTAGGTCTAAAAGGAGGAGAGAAGTAATATATTATATGCGCAGAAGGTACTATATAATAAGAGCTTGAAACTTTAAAGCATTACGAGTAAATGTCAAAGTCTGTAAATGTCACCTCTTCTATCATTTCAGTTACCGCGAATCGGTGTTAGACTATCGATTCGTTTAATTCGCGAAGTACATTTACAGGGAACAAAACGAGTCGCATGTATTATGCACGATTCATGTCTCCTTTAACTCGTAAAGTGCTCAAAACTAGCCAATGTTTTGATTACTGAATTTAAGAAAAGAAGAAATATCAAATATATTTTTTTTACGCATTGAGGATGGGATGCCAATTTGCTTTATTCTCGAAGTGTATGGATTTG